GCGGCTTTTTTGTTCAGGTCTCCACAAGAACTCCTCCTTCTCTGTCAACCGTGTGAGCGGTCTCGCAACTTCACTGTATCCTCGAACAAATCTCCGGTAGAAGTTGGTGAACCCCGAAAATGCTTGTGGTTTTCAAATAGATTGAATTTTATTTATATTTTACAAAATTAAATAACGAAGACCCAAGGCTAGATTTAGATTATCAACTATAAGCTGGTTGTGTTCACAATGACGTGTCTGTTTCAGGTTCTTGGGTTCAGGCCACTCCATGATCCCTTTGATCTTCACCAGGTCCATCTTCATTGAGTTGTGCAAGATGATCACTCCCAGGTACTCAATGTCTGTGCGTTCAAACTTGCACTTCTCTGGTTTGAGAAAGAGTTTGTTGTCCTGGAGTATTTTCAATACTCGTTTCGTCAACTCCCGATGTTCCTCCAATGTCTCTGTGAAAATCAGGATATCATCCAAATAGACAATGACTTTTCCCTCATTGATTAGCTCTCTGAGTATGTTTTTCATCATTGTTTGGAAGGTTGCAGGCAAATTTGTAAGACCAAAGAACATTACGAGTGGTTCAAACAACCCTCGATTTGTTTGGAATGCTGCCTTCCACTCATCTCCCTCCTTGATCCACACATTGTTGTAACCCCATCTTATGTCCAATTTTGTAAAGATCTTGGCACCATGAAGCTTATTTACAAGCTCCAAAATCAACGGAAGCGGATAACGGTTTTTAATCGTCATGTCATTGAGCTTCCGATAATCTTGGACTGGTCGCAGGCTGCCATCTTTCTTCTTTATGAAAAAGAACGCTGAAGCCATTGATAACTTTGATGGGCGGATCCGTCCACTCTTCAAATTCTCCTCCAGGAACTCATTCAATTTTTTCTGTTCAGTCACCGAGAGTGGGTATATCTTGCAATCTACGGCCTTTGCATCTGGCTTCAGCTCGATTGCATGGTCCCATGCTCTTTTCTTGGGTAATGAATCAAATGATTCCTTTGCAAAGACTTTTACATAGTTGTGGTACTGCAGTGGGATCTTTTCCTCTGTCATCCTCTCTTTACCCTGATTGGCTTCTTCTGCCATCTTCTGTGCCTGGGTCTCTTTTAGGCGTAGATTGATCTCCTCAGCAAAATCAACCAGTAGGATTGATTCACCCTCCTTGAGGAATTCCTCTTCCCTCCCAGCATGAAACTCCTGGCCCTTCATATTGCATTCAGACAGACAACGATTGATAGTGATCCTTTGAGATCTCCAGTCAATCTCAGGGTTATGTTTGAATAACCAATTGTAACCAATAAATACACGGGCTTTCCTGAGCCCTGTAACCAAGAAGCGCTGTTGCTCCTTGTGTGGTCCAATGGTCATGATCAACTCTACATAATGAGTGATCTTTCCCTGAGCGTTCTCCATTCCATCAGTGTTGCGGGCAACAATGTGCACATCAAGCTTGTGTTGCTCAAAACCTTCAGCCTTGGTGTAATCTCGATCGATGCATGTAGTAGTGCACCCATTATCAAGAAGAACCTTGACTGCACATGTCTTCCCGGTATCCAACGCTTCAAGCATAACAGGAACAAGCATCTCGTGATGCTTTCATTGTTTCTGGAATTCCTTCAACTCCTGTGCCAACCGGTCCGGCTTTGGTCCTTTCTGCCGGGCAGCCGCTTCCTGCATGTGAACAGCATCAGGGGTTTTTGTCCTCTTGGGTGCTTCCTCCGTCTTTCCAGATTGAGCCCTTACGGCATTGCCGTCCTTTTTTGTCTCGCTGTTTTATCACTGGTTTGGGTTCCAGGGGTTTTTTGAATGCGCTCCACCTCTTATTTACTTCGTCCATATGTTTGTTCTTTAAATTATGTTTCCCATCCTGATTCTCCATAATACATATTTTTTGTTCTTTTTCTACACTAGCTACTAAGAAATTGTTTATACTCTTTCGTAAGCTGACATTTTCTTCTGTGTACATGTCATCTGTACCTGTATCTACCATGTCCATCGTGTCTATATTATTTAATCCTGTGAAGCATCCATATTTTGTATCTAGGGGCGTCGCTTTGGCCGCAAGCGGGGGCCCCTTTAAAAACCCTTCTCACGAAGGATGGCCGCCAGGGCCTGCAGGTCTTCCTGCGTGTAGTGCTCGGTTTGGATGGATTGAATATTGAATTTTTTCTTGGAGGCTCCGGGCACTCCCGCTTCATGTGACCGTCCTTGCCGCAGTTATAGCATTTAAAGGCTTGTGTCTGCTGTCGCACCCTGTCCACGTCCATGGCATCCGGGTCTCTCGCTGGTGAGGCCACTTGTGTCATCCCTTTGTTAGCGGCGGGCGGTACTGTCTGTTCCACCCGGGGAGACCAAAACTGTCTCCTCCTTCCCTGTCAGATCCTGTCTCTCTGCAGATTGCCATCAACCTACATCAAGCGGGCTTTGAAATCCTTGTATGTGGTGGGCAAAGCCGTCCCCCCCAGGTAGATTTGAGAAATGATCTCATGTCCAACGAGATCCTCCAACAGCTCAACTAAAAAAGGCATTGTAACCTGCTGTTGTTGAGTTCTGGGAATACCCCACCTGCTCCGCATAGAGCTTAAAATGCTGGAAAAACTCCACCAGTGACATTTTTCCCTGACGCGTAGTCGTCAGCTTCAGGTGGGCCAACTGCGCAAGGTTCTGATACTTGAACGCGGCTTCCAGTTTGACAATCAACTGGTCAAACGTGTAGGTGGTCGGGAGGGCGCTATTGATGAATGTCCTCTTCTTCCAGTTTCGGACCCAGTCCGAAGCTGTGCAATCTGTTCCATCCGCATTTCGGAGGAACGACACGGTGAAGAAAACTTTCTTCTTGTTGGTCTTTAACTCATCATCATACACAGTGATGTAGGTGGACAGGGAGTCGTGGAAGTTATTCCACTTGGTTTTGTCACCGTTAAAAAATGGCGGGGTGGTGCCAAGGATAACCTTAGATGACATGTCTAAGCTTAGGGTGTGGAAGGGAAGGGATAGTGGTGAAGACGGGTGTAGGAGGTCAGTAGGGGATGGCGGTACGAGGGTATGAAGGGTAACCTTTTATTATGTCACAGTCAAGACTAAATCACGTCCAATATCAGAGATAGAGGATTGGGGAGTGCAATGTGTATAGCTCAAAAGAGGATGGAATAAAAGGTTAACTACTACAGACGACTAGCTACTGGTTTTATAGTGTTTATTGACCCATGTGAACTAAAATATAAATATACTACAATAGTCTGTAACCATGTGTTGTACATGTGTTGTCCATGACTTCTGTCAAGGCCTATTAATTAAATGTGTGTTCCTCATGTGAACCGTCCCTCCGCCATGTGTTCTTACAAAGCGACCTGTATCCTCATGTATGAGGTGTGTTTGTCTGGAACGTTCTGAGGATATTGATAAGGGCTCAGATAATATAAGCGCCAAAGATTAGATAAGCACATGTTTACATAAGGCATTGGAACGATTAGATAGTATCAAATCGTGACAGTTCGGAATCGCAGTGAGAACTGGTGAGCAAATTTCCGAGGTATTAACTGTAAGTCTAATTGGCAGGTGAGTTGAACTGAAATTCGGAGACCTGATTGTGTGAGAGCTGTTGACACCAATTCTACCTGGACAGCCATATTTATTTTACTCATGTTCAATAGATCTACTTCTGCCACTTTGGCCTACTCTGAATTCTCCGATGGATGCATTCAACCTGAATCAATTCCGTCTCGGGCATCTCGTAGCTTCGATTCACGTCTTGTCAGGTCATATTGTTTATGTCCGTCCTGCTTGTCAATATTCAACAGCAACTTGGTTGGGATTTTTTCTCCTGACCAATCATGTCAACAACTAAATTAGGAAGGTTTTTTGGTGGCCTGGGCGAGGGACTCGAGCCGAGCGGAGCTCGCGCGAAGTGTCCGGAGCCTGCCAGCTGTACCATCGATGTGCGCCAATGATGTTTTATTTTTATTTTTATTTTATTTGTCTCGTAACAAGTTGGTGAAAACTACTCCCATGATAGGGGGCTTTGCGGCGCTAGCGGGCCTAGTACGGTATTTATTTATCTCGTTACCGGGCTCTGCCGCTTGTCGGCCTTACAGCTTTATATGCATTCGTCTAGATTGGGAAGAGAGACCCGTGCGCATCTTTACACCATACTGCCTTCCTTACCCGGGATGCTTCCTTCCTGAGCGAGTGCTGCAAAACTAGAGGCAAACTGGTAATACAAGAGAATACATGACAACAAAGAGCAGTACCTTGAGTCGAATAAGGACCTCGGGAATTCTATGCTTTGCTTCGCTCCAGCATCGAATAGAGAGTTTGTGTGCAAGATTACACCATACTGCTTTCAAATTCCTCGCCGTGTTCTGAACCTGGCTGACTTTTCTTTTCTCAGAATCTTAAAGAAATTGAGGTTCCAAAAAGTGCAAAAATAGAACGCACACAGAGCAGCACCTTGAGTCGAACAAGGTCCTCGGGAATTCATGCTTTAATCTGGAACCCTAAAGGGAATCCCGCGTGCAACATTACACCATACTGCTTTTCTTGCCCCTATTCCCACTTGGCTGAATTCTCAAAATGTTTGGGGAGTTTGGGCTCTAAAAAAAGTGCACAAGAACACTCAAAGAGCAGCGCACGAGTCGAACAAGGTCCTCGGGAATTCATGGTATCTTGTTCTTCTGCTGCGTCGCCTCACAGAGAGCCCGTGTGCTTGATTACACCATACTGCTTTCCTCGCCTTGTTCTGAACATGGCTGACCTTTCTTCTCTCAGAATCTTAAGAAATTGAAGTGCCAAAAAAAAGTGCGAAGACTTGACTCTCAATGAGCAGCACCTTGATTCGAACAAGGACCTCGGGACTATAAGCCTTCGTCGAGCATGGGAAGTGAGACCCGTGTGCAACTTTACACCATACTGCCTTTCTTACCCAGGCTTCTTCCTGAGCGAGTGCTAGAGAATTAGAGGCAAACTGGAAACAAAAAAAGGATGAAAGATTGGGAATAGAGCAGTACCTTGAGTCGAACAAGGACCTCGGGGATTCATATTTTCTTGTTCTTTTTCTGTGTCGCCTTATAGAGAGTCCGTGTGCTTGATTACACCATACTGCTTTCCTCGCCTTGTTCTGAACCTGGCTGACTCGATCTCAAAATCTTGAGAAATTTAGGTGCCAAAAAAAAGTGCGCCAGAACCTTCGAGAAAGAGCAGCACCTTGAGTCGAACAAGGTCCTCGGGAATACATGCAGCCTCCTGGTTTGCTAAGAGAGACCCGCGTGCAATTGTACACCACACTGCTTTCGTCGTCTTGTTCTGAACCTGGCTGACTTGCCTTAGAATCTTGAGAAATTTAACCAACACCTGGAGAGCAGCACCTCGGTTCGAGAAGGTCCTTGGGAATATTTATGCTCGTCAATGCCGAAAGGGGATCCCGTGTGCAATGTCACACCATACTGCCTTTCTTGCACAGGCTTCTTCCTGAAGCAAGTGTCACAGAATTAGAACCAAATTCATAAAAACAAGAGGATAATCCAAAAATATCAGAGCAGTACTTTGATTCGAACAAAGACCTCGGGAATTTATGCTTTATTTTCATTCCGTTCATACAGAGCCCGTGTGCATCATTACACCATACTGCTTTCCTCGCCTTATTGAACCTGGCTGGCTTGTCTCAGAATCTTCAGAAATTTAGGGGCCCCCCAAAAAAATGCGCCCGAACCTCCGAAAAGAGCAGCACCTTGATTCGAACAGGGACCTCCAGAATCCAAAGATTTTTCCTTTTGCGCCACCTCATAGAGCCTGCGCACATCATTACATGCGAGTCGTACTGCCTTCTCACCTCCTTCCTGATCATGAGCGAGTGCCACAAAATTAGCGGCAAGCTGGTGAAAAAAAAAGAAGGCAGAAAAGAACCCCAGAGAAGTACCTTGGTTCGAACAAAGACCTCGGGAATCCATTATCTCTGGGTTCCTCGAATAGAGAGCCCTGCATCATTAGATCATACTGCTTTCTTCGCCTTCTGAACCTGGCTCTCTTCTCTCAGAATCTTGAGAAATTCCGGTGCCAACAAAGGAAGTGTGTAAGTACCGCGATAGAGCAGCACCTTGAGTTGAACAGGGTCCTCGGGAGTATACACATTTTGACAAGATTGGAAAGGGGATCCCGCGCGCTTCATTACACCATACTGCTTTCTTTGCCCTCTTCTGTACCTACATAGGTTCTCCCCAATTCGGAGGAATTCATTGAAGAGCAGTACCTTGACTCTTCAAACAAGGAGCTTTAGATTACTGTTGAAGCCTTGGGCCACAACGAAATCTAATGTGCATCATTACCCCATATTTACTGCTTACCTTTTCCTATATACTGTAGAATTACATTCAATTCGGCAGTCACGCGTCACGGAGGGGGTTGACGGCGCCGAACTTTGGTCGGTGTCACGGGTCACGGCGGCGGTTGACGAATATGTCCGGGTGTCACGGTATTTTCAAAATTTTCTTCATGGGCCACATCTCTTAATTTTTCTTTGCCACAGCTGCCTTCTGGTGTAGTTTGTGCCCATTTCCACGGATTTCTGTCATGAAATGCAGAATTCTGCTGTCCAGGGGTGAAATATGTGAAAAGAATTGCAAGTTTTTGTTCTTTATCAAAGATCTGGTTCAGCCTTTGAGTGCTTGCTTCCTAGGCCCACCTAAAGTTGAGTTATCATGTGTGTTGAATTTTATCTGAAATCTCCATACTGACGAAATTTTACGTGTGTCACGGTCACTCCCCGGGGTTGACGAACTGACGAATATGTTCAAAATGTCACGCGTCACACCCCCTGCCGAATTGAATGTAATTGTACAGTAATCGGGTGTAGGTTGAGGCCACACATTAATCAAATTAAAAAACACGTGACCAACGCAGCAGAGCAGCACCTTGATTCGAACAAGGACATCGGGAATCCATGTTTTGTTCTGCCTCGTCATTGAACAGAGACCCTGTGTGCATTATTACACCATACTGCTTCCCTCACCTCGTTCTGAAAACATTAACCTGGATGAATTCTCTCTCGGAATATTCAGAAATTTAGGGATAATTCTATTTGGAAGCCCGGCTTCCAGCGGAAACCCCACCTTGCCGAGAACCCCGACCATTTATTTATTTGGAAACCCTTCGGCCATCACAGGCTGAGCGTCAGAGTCTGAATTCAGGATCACCCATAAAGCCCGATTTTGGCTGTAGAATTTGTCCTTGTTACTTACCCGCGGGATATGTTCCACCGTCTTCAGGCGGCAATGCCCCTGCCTATTTCGGGTGTTCAAATGCGTCAACAGGTCAGTGACATAGCCTCTTCAAGATTTTTAGTACATCCTCATCTGAACCTTTTGTTGATGCATCATGATTGAGAAGAAGAGAGGACCGAATCAAGGAAGCATTTTTGGTCCAGGCCCAAAAATCTGACCGGACAGCAGGAGTGACAAGAGCAGGCGGGCATAGTCAAGAAATCCCCTCTTCGAAGCTAGTAGATAAGTTTGTGTAGCTGGGTGAAAGCGACCGATGTTACTGTTTTGGACTCGAACCACGAAATACTTGTACCCACCAGTAAACTGGGTTAAAATGTGGTGCAGTCCTGGCCTGATGTTTGCTTCACTTCTCTTCAAAGGACACTCATCATTCATTGATCCCAGGATTTCCAGGTGCTATTCTCTAGTTATGGGCTCGCAATCCGGTATTCCAAAATAGTGACATGCCGACGCCGGGATGCTGGTGCTGCTGCCGACGGCCAGAAACCCTTGGAAGCCGGGCTTCCAAATAATACATTTTTTACAACAGGGGCTTCTGCTGGAAGCCGGGTTTCCAAATAGAATTATCCGAAATTTAGACGTCAAAAAAAAGAAAAAGTGCCCGAACCTCCAGAAAGAGCAGCACCTTGATTCGAACAAGGTCCTCGGGAATTCATGCTTTAATCCGGAACCCCGAAAGGAATCCCGCGTGCAACTTTACACCATACTGCCTTTCTTGCCCAGGCTTCTTCCTGAGGTAAGTGCTACAAAATTAGAGGCAAACTGGAAACCAAAAAAAGTGTAGAACGTCGCACGCAGAGCAGTACCTTGATTCGAACAAGGACCTCGGGAATTCATTTTTTTTGTGCTTCTTCTGCCTCATAGAGAGCCCGTGTGCTTGATTACATCATACTGCTTTCCTCGCCTTGTTCTGAACCTGGCTGACCTTTCTTCTCTTAGAACCTTAAAGAAATTGAGGTGCCAAAAAAAAAGTGCGAAGACTTGACTCTGAATGGGCAGCACCTTGATTCGAACAAGGACCTCGGGAATATAAGCCTTCGTCGAGCACGGGAAGTGAGACCCGTGTGCAACTCTACACCATACTGCCTTTTTCACCCAGGCTTGTTCCTGAAGCAAGTGCTACAAAATCAGAGGCAAACTGGAAACAAAACAAAACAAGGATGAAGGATCGGAAATAGAGCAGTACCTTGATTCGAACAAGGACCTCGGGAATTATATTTTTTTGTCCTTCTTCTGCCTTATAGAGCGCCCGTGTGCTTGATTACACCATACTGCTTTCCTCGCCTTAACCTAGCTGACTTTTCTTCTCTGAGAATCTTAAGAAATCGAGGTGCCAAAAAAAAAACAGTGCGAAACTATAACACATACAGAGCAGCACCTTGAGTCGAACAAGATCCTTGGGAATATATCCACTTCTAAGATTGCAAAAGTGAGACCCGCTGCAACGTTACACCATGCTGCTTTTCTGAGCCCGGCTTACGATCGACCGAGTGCACGCACATTATTGGATCCTCAAAAGAAGTGCGCCGCGGTGGTGGCGCTTGTCAGCTGGAACGTTTCGGGTCAGGGAGCTGACACGACAACGTTGACCACTTGTTGAGCAAGAGTTTGACCGAGAGGACAAGTCCGTCGTGGAGCGCCGAGGGCAGTGACGCCAGCGCAGCAAGTTTCAGCCCGCAATTGGGGGACAAGTCACGGCCCCATAGTCTAATTTCTAAGATTTTCTGCGTGTCCAATTGTTCTCGATGAAATGTACCGCCGTGTCGCCGAATAAAACCGACATGGTGGAGAGGAAAGAACAAAAAAGCCCCAAAAGATGTGCGGGTCGATAGCCGAAGCTTCGAAATGGCAGGTTGATGACATACAACGTCAACGCGTCAACCATCATCCTGTCGCCTCTTGTTTCTGCTCTTTTCTTTTGTCTCGTCACTGCCTGTACGACGCCGACACCCTCAAGCACACCACCGCCAACGTCCTCGACGGCGAACAACAGCGTCATCGATCAGGCAGACACGGGCTGCTGTTCCCCTTAGCGACCCCGACGTTATACCATAAGCTATCACCCATGCCTTTGAGCTCTGTCCGCAATGGCCTCCTCAACTTCGCGTTCCTCCACACGGCGCAAGTCTTCTTCCTCGTCTTCGTCGCCGTCTCCCACTACTTCTAGCTCAGCAAACAGTACGGATGGCTTTGCGACCATCACCGCCACCCCCCACGCTCTCCTTCCCGCCCTTTGGAGGTGGTGGCGGCGGCAGCGGGGGCGGGTCTGGTGGAGGCGATAGCTCGCAGCCCGGCATTTAGTCGTCCGCGCACTTGTATCGTGCGTATTCTGCTTGCCATTGTGCATCCGACATCTGATTCTTTTCCTTTCTTTTTCTTTGCTTTTTATTTCTACTCTCGTATCGCTGCCCCTCTACATGTCGACGCCACTAACGCACACGCCCAAACTGCTCCTTTCCTCGACTCCTTTTCCTCTCTGGTCCTGGGTTCCTTGAATTAACTCGACACACTCGTCTACGCATTCAGGGAGCCGACAGTCGAACGCCCGATCCACCATGACGATGCCACCATCCGAGGCTCTTTATCTATCTCTTCCCCGCAGGACGATGCCCCGACTTCTGCCATGATGTCCCCCATCTGGTCTCAATTCCAAGGGGCAGATATGACGGCGTTTTCGCGCCGCCCTTCGTCCTGCTCATCCCTAGTCTCTCGCGCCTTCCCTGCTCGTTCCCCGACGCTTCCACTGCCGTTCATCGTCTCTGCATCGACATTTAGCTGCTCCATTTATTATACCGCCTCCAAGACCTTGGACATAGTATCTTTCCATTTTCTCCTATTTTACTTACTATAAATTATGTATCTAGTAGCCCCTTTCGATATGATCCGCTTCGCCCTCGATTCCGTCCCTCGTTGCTCCCAGCCCTCGTCGTTGCTGTGAGGCCCAAGTTGAGCTTTGCTTGATCCACCTCGCACACTAGTTCCTTTCTTCCGCGCTCGACGGTTGGTTGGCTCGTCAACCGTCGCTGTCAACCCCAGCTCTGTACCAGACCAAGCAGCCGACAGAAAACATCTGTATTCAGGTCAGTTCTTGACCGATTCTCTCGAACTAAAACTCTCAACCCACCCTCAGAATGTTCTCAAGGTGATCCGCTTTGATCTCGGCCGCCCCACACCGAACGCACGCATGCCGAGCCCGCCGACATCGACTCTGTGCCAAATGAAGCAGCAGACAAAACCATATCTATCAAGGTCAGTTCTTCGCCGTTTCGCACAAAGTAAAAGCCTGGGCGCACCCGTAGGACGTTCTTAAGAGGTTCCTCCTTCACCTTTCAAATCGTCGCTTTGCGCGGGGCCATCTGTATCTAGTTAGTTTTATCCAATCCCGTGAATTAAAGTACTCACATCACCCTTGGCATATTCTCCAGAGGACATGCCAAAGATTTCGGCCGCTTGACGCGTCACGCCCGCACGGCGAGCCGCCGAAGCTGACTTCATCCGAATTTTCGGTCTACAAAAAACCCTGCGGATAGAGCGTTTTCCGCCAAAAAAAATCAGCATACGTTTAGGACGTTATTCAAGGCTGAGCAGGCGATGTGAGTTGCCCGTTGCCGATCACGCGTACGTTGACCCCGCCAATACCGCACCCAGCCAGTCAGATGAGATTTGACGCAGAATTATACCTATGAAGGTCAGTCTTTCGTCCAATCCAGTGAAATGAAATGCTTGTCACAACGTTGGGATGTTCTCAGGTGGGTATTGCACGCACACCCGCTTCTTCCTTTGATACTGGGGCTTGCGGCAAATCGGCTGATTGCCTATGTGCACTTTCCGGAGGGACACCGAAAGTGCACACAGGGGACTCAACTACTCTGTGCACGCTCCTGCTCTCAAAATCTGTAGGCAGTGCTCTGTCAGCTTACAGAGCAGAAATGATCACGCGCTCGCATTATTCACTGTCAATCTGAACGAAAAAAGAAAATACAGTACATATGTAGGCTCAATTCACCCATCCGAGAACTAACCCTTCCACTAGTCTCATTGGCCCAGGCCGAAGTCAAATCTGCGTCGCGCCTTAAGCGGCATGTGGACTTCTCCGCACTGATGAGGGCTTAGTGTGGGAAAAAGTGCGGGAATGGGCGGTGGTTGACCGCGTTCCTCGAATGCACAAATGGATTGTGAGGATAGGAATGGGACGATCCTCGGGCGGAGTTTTCGGTCGCTTTCCTTACTCTCCAACTGTCGCCGCTCAGATCAACACAAGGTACCCCAGGGCCAGAACTTCTGAAATCGTTCCTTCTATGTGGAAGGTGACAGGCTGTGTCCAACACAGTTGTCTTCCGAGTCCACTCTATCTACATGCCGAAGTGCCATCTGGATCCTTTGTTGGATTTCGCCGTCATGATCTCTCACTAGTCGAACGCCATATCGGCTTCTCATGGCGTTCCCCGCACAAAGGTCCTCCCAGTGCGCTAGGGTGTTTAGGCTCTGAAATCCGCAGGCTATATGCATCCACTCATCTTAGTTTAAAAGCCTGACAAGTTCCTGGCCCTAGAGTTCGACATTACTATGACATTTGAATGGGCCACAGGAATATAAGGTCTTGGCTCTGGTTCTGTTCCTCGCCACTCAATTCATCCACATTTATAACAACAGAGTTCATCAGCACTAGGTGATTCACTGCTTCCACTTGTTCAGGGACTCAGTCGACGACACTTGCCCTTCTGGGATCCAATTCAAGGAGTAATGAATGGCACGGAACCCGGAACCATGTTCGACACCGAGTTGTGGTTGTGCGCGTGCCCACTCCTTCGTCAATTTCGGCCATGGAACGGTTTAAAAGTTGGCCTCAGCTATCGACATCCAACAGCGCGCCTCACAGCATGTTTTTGCTCCCCCTAGTCTCCTTGATCTTCATTCCCGTCCTCGCGCGCGCTCTACCCGGGCCCATACCTATCGGTGTTCCTGTCAACATCGTCGACTTTCAAGGCAACGTCTTCGATCTCGCAAACCTTAACTCGAACGCGCTTAACCCGAACGCGCCCGTCCAGGGCTTGAACCATGTAGTCGGTGATATCGCGCAACAAGTACGTATGATCCACCCCCTCCACGATCATTACTGATAACAAAACCGGTAAAGTGGGTGATCAACGAGGTCAACGTCGAAAGTCAACTGTTCACTATCGCGAATCCCAAGGTGGGGACGTTCCTCTCCTACTCGACGGCGGCCATCGGCGGGAATCCAATCAGCAGCCAGCTGTTCGGGAGCTCTAAGAACGCTACGCAGTGGATCATCTCTGCCGGGAACTTTGGCTACGGGTTCGTGCTGAAATATCCCTTGAACTCCACGCTGATTAATGACTAATTGTGTAGGATAATCGAGCCTTCCTCCCAAGACATTGTGACGAGTTGGCCCCGGCAATCGACCAATACCACCAACCTCGGCTCCTCGACACCGGTACGTCATTCTCCAAAGACCCGTTGTCTTGAACTCATGTTTCCACCCCTAAGCTCACCCTGCAGCCCTTCCAGGACGTGATACAGCACGTGTTTAATTTCCAGACATGTAAGTACCACCCAATTATGTTTCCCCTCCGGATTAATATATAGTGCGTCGAATATAGGGACCTGATGTTTTGGTTCCCTTCCTATGTCCTGCTTTTCGGTGTTTCGACCATGTGCTCCGCTCCCAGCTTTGCGTGTCTTGTTCTCGTTAATCGAGTTTGCGATTGAGTTTTGTCTCCGGCGTTGTAACCTGAGCTCTCAGCTCGAAGCAAAAATTACCCACTGCGAGTCTCTCGATCGATTCGGCACGTCTTGGCCAATCGACCCCCTCCCAAATGCTGATCACGTGCTTCTCTTCACAACCACATACTATTTTTGACCCCTTACTTGGCCACCTAAGCATTCATGCTTCAGCATCAGCCTTTAGCGTGGTTCCACGCCGACAAAATGGCATCAGATGAAAGGCGGGCATCCTATGAAGAGATTAAGCCTACTCCCAACCAAATATATAAAGACTTGCCTTGGCAGTGAATTTCCTTCGGACGGCGGTTCAATAAGGCCAAAAAACAGGTTAGTTGGCCACCTCCCCAAATCAAGCTTTGAAGCTGAAACTCGGCGACCAGAGTCATTGGGAATCGTACTTGAGGCATATATTCACAATTAAAACATATTTCAGTCTACATGCGGCCCGTATGCCGGGTGTAAATGACTGCTCCGCAGATGGGGAAAAAGCCCAGCCTGAGGCTGCTTGACCAACAGCGTGTCTAGCAGAAGATGGAACCAGGCTGGGCCCCAAATTATGTTTCAAACAGTGTTAAAGGAAGGTATACAACATATTTACATAAATAACTTTATACCAAGGTGCTCGCACCTCACCAAAAAAATCACATTGTTGGCATGATCAAAATTGTGTTGTTTGCAACAAAGCATTACACTGAGAAAGGAGCTGAGCAGCTAAAATTTCGAAGTACATCCTAGATCAAAGTATTGGATCCCAAAAGACCTCATGCCAAGTTCCAGATCGCCAGCCCCACAGCTTCGTATTATAAGACACCGGCCAGGATAAGTCACTCAAAAAAAGTGAAGGTACTTTCACTGGAGGATAGCAAGGAAGTTTATAGCCTAATTACAATATTGATCATGCTAGATGATCTGCCCGAAGCTGGGGAATAGAACGAGCATACAAAGTCCCGGAATGGCGAGGAATTGGTTGAGAGAGAGCTGACACAAGAAAGCCGAGACGCGTCGGCAATAAGAAAATGATGTTCACACGTTTCGGAGGCTGATCCGACATGTCGTAACTCATCACTTTGACCTCAAATTCGGTTCAGGCCTTCGTTATGGATCTTACTGTACTATTTCGCTCAATTCTCCACGGCTGTGACCTGTGACATGCAGATTCGAACTTTGGTTTTCGAAAATGGGCCGGGAGGAGCGTGACACCTCAAAAAATTTCGAAAAATCATTAAAAAGGGCCAAATGTACTTCCCAGACACTTTCTATGGGAGTATTTCGAGCATTTATGACAAAGAAATAGCGTCAACTCAGGAGACAGTGCATATGGATTCCACTAACCTGCACATGGAGCTGCTTGATATCTGAATCAAGGTACGCGAAGCTGTAATAATATCAGAAAGGTGGTGGCAAAACATAATTGGTGGGATGAAGTGCAGAAATACTGACTGTTTACTTGCGGCATTCGTTCGTTGTGTACGGCGTGCATAATAGTTGATTATCAGCAGTGCATCCAGGCGCGATAGGAGGACCGAAAATAGCCGTGGACAAATCTTAATGTGGTGTACATGCACATACTGTTCAAATCTCTGTTTGAAGGAAAGCAATTAGACCAAGCTGAGTTGGTGATAATATAGCATACCTTGCGAAATATTTCTCGGGGTCTTAGTTGGACATTTTATGTTAACTCCGAGGCTGGCGGCGTTGCTCCTCATCATATTATGTCATATGCATCATATGTACACGCTCCGCGGCGAAAAATTGAAAATTTCCCGCATTTATCGCCGATTTTGTGACTTTGGGGCACATTCGAACATCCCCTCGGTGACCTGTGACATGTTCGAAAATTTTCTGAAATTTTGGGCCCTGTGACGCGTGACATACGAATTGAGCGAAATAGTACAGTACTCTCATCCCTGATTATGCCGCGTTATGAATATCAAGTCCCGGAACACTAGCTACCAAATGGCCAACTAAGGGGTCCGAAATAGTACACATCACTCACCGGCTCTTTCCCAACCACGTTGCGTTTTTTTTTTTTTTGGCCCCACGACTTTTCAAACACGTGATCACGGCATTCGGCTCGACAACGGCATGCGACGGCAAGGCTCAGAAAATATCCGAGTCCGTGCCGGTGGGCGATTTTTGCGAGCCCAAGTCCGTAGCGTGAAAATAAATATGCTTATGTGCCTTGCCACCCAAATATGATGTAAACAATATTTTAAAGAATTAATCATACAGGTGTTCACGATAGTATGAAGTTCAAGGAGCGGGAAGAACGGGCTGAGACTCGTCGAGGTCCTGTAAGTGCGTGAACATGGTATTTTACAACGCTAAGGCCTCCATTAACCGCTGCTCCACCGAGGCGCGATCTTCGTTGGGCATATGGGGAAATTGAGGATCGTGGATCACCGACAGGTCGTTCTCCCAGTCCTCGGAAGGATCGGCGCTGACCTGAGGAGAAGGCTCGATGTGACTTGTGGACACGACCGGCTCAGACAAGCGCAGTTCTTTGGGTACCCCAGCATCGGGCTGGGCCGGCTTTCCACTCGCTTGCCCGCCCGCATATGGGTCCGTATGTGTCCGCTTCTTCGCCCTTTCTTCGTCGCAGCAATAACCCCATCGCTTCGGCCGTCAGAGCCCAGCCTGTACCTGCATTCGGTACTACCTTCTTCGCCTTGGGTAATAAGATTTGATCGCCTACCGCGGCGTTTAACGAATTGTCGAGTGTGCGCAAGGAGTCTGTAAGTGCAGCGGAAGGGGCTACATTAGCATTCTTCAGATACTGGAGTGTGTGCAGGATGTAATCGAGATACAGAGAATGATCTTGAGTGATGCTGGCCCCGGCCTGAGGATTTATGTTGTCCAGAGGATCATCGGTGCGATCAACGGGGCGCTCTCGAAGAATGCCTCCGCTCCTCCTTTCGGAGCCAGAACTCCATTTCACCGAGAGAATTCCACTTGAGGGTGTACTCCCCATCAGCGATGTCGCGCTCGAACGACCCAACGGGTGCCTTCTGGACGCATGGTGGCATTATTCCACCGATATTGGAGACAAACGGCGCGTCGGCAGGCGATGGAAGAGCTCGGAAGCAGGCCTGAGCGAGAGAGATAGGGGCTGGGAAAGTCGGGGACGACGTCCGGCAGTGAAGTAATACAAGAGACGGAAGATGGTACGAGGAGAGAGTATAGCGAGCGGGTAGCACAGTTTCTGGGGCCCATGGCGCGTCCCAAACGACATGGACAGCCGAAGCAGAACATATTTCAAGGCCCGCCAAGGCGCGTTGAAATGCCGAAGAAGCCGTAAATGTGATCGTCAAAGTCGTGGGGCGAAAAGGCGCTGCTAGTACCTTGATTCGAACAAGGACTTCGGGGACCTTTCATTCGTGGAAAGCCTTTAAGGGGACCCTGCGTGCAACACCATACTGCTTTCTGTGCCCTCTTCTGTACCTAAATGAGTCCTCCCGAATTTGGAGGAATTCATTAAAAAGGATTCTCAAAGACCTGCAAGGAGCAGCACCTTGACTCGAACAAGGCCCTCTGGATTGTTGTTGGAAGCAATCACAGATGTGCATCATCCCACCATACTGCTTTCCTTTTCCTATATAATCCGGCGTAGGTTGAGGGCCACAAATTAATCAATCCTTCTTGAAAAATATCCGTTACACCAACTAGAGAAAGACATTGAAGAGTGCCAAAAAATAAAGTGCGAAGACATAACACTCACTGATGAGCAACATCTTGACTCGAACAAGGTCCTCGGGAATATATGCACTCGTCGAGATTGGGAAGAGAGACCTGTGTGCATCTTTACACCACACTGCCTTTAAATTGCTTACCTTCTTCCTGAGCGAGTGCTATAAAATTAGAGGCAAACTGGAGCCCGAAAAAAAGTGTAGAACGTGCCAAGCAGAGCAGTACCTTGACTTGAACAAGGACCTCGAGAATTCTGTGTTTTTCTGCGTTCCGTCATAGAACAGAGAGCTCGTGTGCACGATTACACCATACTGCTTTTCTGGCCTTGTTCTGGGCCTGACTGACTTGTCTCAGAATCTTGAGAAATTTAGGTGCCAAAAAAAAGTGCGCCAGAACCTTCGCCAAATGAATGCCAAATTTAAAGAGCATCACCTTGATTCGAACAAGGTCCTCGGGAATTCATGCTTTATTCCTGAACCCCAAAGGGAATCCCACGTGCAAAATTACACCATACTGCTTTGCTTGTCCCTGTTTCTACTTGGCTGAATGCTCAAAATGTAGGGGTGTTTGGGTTCTAAAAAAAAAGTGCGTAAGAACACTCGGAGAGCAGCGCCTTGAGTCGAACAAGGACCTCGGGAATTCATGGTATCTTGTTCTTCTGCTGCGTCGTCTCATAGAGAGCCCGTGTGCTTGATTACACCATACTGCTTTCCTCGCCGTCCTGAACCTGGCTCTCTCAGAATCTTAAGAAAATTGAAGTGCCAAAAAAAAGTGCGAAGACTTGACTCAATGAGCAGCACCTTGATTCGAACAAGGTCCTTGGGAATAGCCCTTGTCAAAGTCGTGTGGCAAGAGAGACCCATGTGCAGCTTTACACCATACTGCCTTTTTTACCCAGGCTTCTTCCTGAGCGAGTGCTAGAAAATTGGAGGCAAACTGGAACCAAAAAAAGGGTGAAAGATCGGAAATAGAGCAGTACCTTGAGTCGAACAAGGACCTCGGGAATTCAATTTTTTTTTGTGCTTCTTCTGCCTCATAGAGAGCCCGTGTGCACGATTACACCATACTGCTTTCTCGCCTTGTTTTGAACCTGGCTGACCATTCTTCTCTCAGAATCTTAAGAAATTGAAGTGCCAAAACTTGTCTCTCAATGAGGCCGTGGCTTGTCCCCCAATTGCAGGCTGAAACTTGCTGCGCTGGCGTCACTGCCCTCGGCGCTCCACCACGGACTTGCTCTCTCGGTCAAACTCTCGCTCAACAAGTGGTCAACGTCGTCGTGTCAGCGTTTCAGCTGACAAATGCCACCGCCGCGGCTGCGCACTTTTTTTGAGGATGGAATTTGCGTGCACTCGGTCAATCGTAAGTCAAGCTCAGAAAAGCAGTATGGTATAAAGTTGCACACGGGGCTCACTTTCGCAAAGATGGAAGTGGACATATTCCCGAGGATCTTGTTCGACTCAAGGTGCTGCTCATAGTCCAATTTATAAGATTTTCTGCGTGTCCAATGGGTGTACCGGCGCGTCGCCGAATAAAACCGAGACGGTGGAGAGGAAGGAACAAAAAAGCCCCAAAAGGGTATGGCCGAAATGACAGCTGGATGACATACAACCTGAACGTTGTCGCTCCTTGCTTCTCGCGCTTTTCTTGTCTCGTCGCCGCCTGTGACGACGCCGACACTCTCAAGCACACCGCCGCCAACGTCCTCGGCGGCGAACAGCAGCGTCATTGATCAGTCAGACACCGGGCTTCTGTTCCCCCTAGCGACCCCGGCGTTATCCTATTGGCTATCACCCACACCCACTCATCGGCCTTGAGCTCTGTCCGCCATGGCCTCCTCGACCTCGAACTCCCCTTCCTCCTCGCGGCGGAGTTCTTCGTCTGCATCGCCGTCTGCCTCTACTTCTAGCTCAGCAAATAACACCGCTAGCGCGACGAGCTCGAGCAGCGGCGTGACCGTCTACCCCTTGCCCTCGCCGCCCTTTGGAGGTGGTGGCGGCGGCAGCGGAGGCGATTCTGGTGGAGGAGGGAGCTCTCAGCCCGGCATCCAGTCATCTGCGCAGCTTTACCGTGCGTGTTATGCTTGCCATTGTGCATCCGTCATCTGATTCTTTTCCTTCCCTTTTATTTTTAATTTCTACTCTCGTATCGCTGCGCCTCTACATGTCTACGCCGCCAACGCACACGCCCCCTGCTCCTTGCCTTGCCTCGCCTCCTTTTCTCCTGGTCCTTGAATCACCTCGACTTGACGCACTTGAAACAACGCACCGATAGTCTACACCTTCCTCGCCACCCTCATCCTCCTCCTCGGCGTCTCCTCCGCCATCGTCTTCCGCTCCCTCCTCCTCCGCCGTCGCCACCGCCGCATGATTGCTGAAGCCATCGCCAACGGTACTTGGGTGCCCCCCACCCCGCGCGTGCGCGTCGATTTGAGGAAGAAGCCGAGGCTGTGGGATGCGTGGGTCGCGCCGCCCGTGCTTGGTGGTGGAGCAGGAGAGAAGGACGAGTGGGATGGGATTATGGTGGGTGTCGTTTTTCTTGTTTTCCTTGGGAAGGCGTCCTTTTCCTCTTCCTCTCCTCCTCTTGCGTCCATTCCGCTCCTCTGCCACCGACCCTCTCCTTTCTCCCCGTCGCTTCTGCGGCTCTGCCCTGTCGGCTCTCCCTTGCTTCCATTCCTCCGCCTCCCTATCCGTCCGACCTCTCCACCCTCCCTCCTCTTTCTTTTCACAAACCATCACATCTGCGGACCTTATTCCTTCATCCCTCCTTCGCCGTCATCACGCTTCCTCCCCCACGTCTCGCATCGCACCTGTCGTATCCTATCCGCTTGCCCTTAACTCCGTCTCTACCATCTATCCTCCTCCTTTCCCCCTCTTCCTCATTCTTCCTGTCCCTTGTCCCTCTTTCCGTCCGTCGCCTCACTTTTCTCTTTTCATACTCTTTCCCGAACGCACCCCGCTAACGCCCTTCCTCCCACAGCCCTTCGCAGCCTCATACACCCCCTCCTCCCTCTCCTCCCCTCCACCACCGTCTTCCTATCCCCCGCCTCCAAACGCGTCATCGACGGCGCTCTCCGTCTCTGCGACGCCGCGTACCCTCTCGCGCGTCCCGACGGCGCATTCGGGTGCTACCACCGGCGGAGGCGTAGGTGGTGTAGGAGGTGGAGGAATAGGAGAAGGAGAACCGCTGCTGCAGCCCCGCGTGCGGGTCGCGGTGTTGATCGCGATGCCTGCGCCGGGAATGTTCGCTGCCCCTTCATCTTTCCCTTCCTCTCTCTCACCCGCCTCCACGTCTCCATCTTCTGCAAACCCGACGCCCCCGACGTGGCTACCCCCACAAGACGCTGCGAGCTGGGCGCCGTTCCTCCCCGCGCCGGCGCCGGGGGACGACCCCGACGAGGTGGGCCTCCCGCATTTGGAGGTGGGGGTGGCGAGTGTGGGGGTCGTTGCGTCGGATAAGGATGGGGATGACTCGGATCCCGATGGGGAGGGAGGGAGGGGGAGCGAGGATGTGGAGAAGCCGGAGTCTAGGTCATGACAGTGAGGGGAGTAGATGAGATGAGATGCGGACTATGATATGAAGACAATGACTGACTACGGACGAGACGATACCACGAATACGAAGAGTGAGGAGGAGGAAGGGAGGAGGACGAAAAATATTAATGGATTGGATGTACTTACGCTGATGATTTACGATGGTGTATAGTGTAGTGTAGTAATTCACGATCACATACTTTCTCTTAGGACGAAGGAAAGGGAAGGGAAGAGAGAGGCGAGATTTCCTTTTTTGGACATGGACGCGGATCTGCTTCTCGATGGCGAAGTGGACTCTGGAGAATATTGTGAGTACGTGTCTGGTGCGGAATGGCTGGTCGAGCGCGACTGGGAGCGAACGAGGGGTTCTTGCGCAGTGCCCGGGGGTCCGGGGATGGGTAGCCGGCCCGTTCCGTCGGGCCTACACGACGGCAACGAGACCCGATGGCGGTTGAAATGACGGCCGTGACGGCACGATGGGTGGGCAGGATCGCGCTATCATTGCTATATAGCAGGGACCCCAATTTACTCTAGTTTACTGCACTATTTCGACTGTTTAGTCACGTGACGGGTGACGGAGGCCTGAAAGAGTGACATTCCGGTCTGGATAGTGATGTTCAGGGCCCGGCTTCAAGCCCTGGGCCGGCCGGGCCAAGCCCTGGGAAGCCTAAGCCGGGCCGGGCCCGACACAGGGCTTGAGCGGGCCCAGGGCTTGGGCTTGAGATTTTTTAAGCCCAGGCCAGGCCCTAAAGCCCGGGCTTCAGTATCACTTAAAAAGATGAATGTTTCTTCCATTTTTATCTCAGCAAACTCACCCATTGGATCAGCATTTTACTTCCTTGAACCATAGACAACTTACCCTAGAGAAACTACCGGAATTGGTGGCTTTCACAGGCGTAACTTGCTGACTCAGAACATCTGAAAAAGGAAATCGTAGGTTTGAACGGTCAAGAAGTTGAATAATGAAGCCAGTAAGCATTCTAATACACACTATGGCTCCTACATTAAATCAACTATAGTTTTGCTATGTAACGTGGTCAAATATTTGGATTTTTTTATCGCATGTGTCAGGCCCGGGCCTAAGCCTTGAGCCCCGAGCTTGAAGCCCTGGTTGCGGGCTTGGGCTTGGGCTTGAGATTTCCCAAGCCCAAGCCTGCTCAGGCCGGGCCCAAGCCCGGGCTTCCAGGCCAGGCCGGGCCCTGAACATCACTAGGTCTGGAGACCTGATTTTTTGAAGGCGTCAGAGAACAGGAAAATGAATTTTGAGCTACGCTTACTTTGATACAGTACTAGTGGCGGCGAAAAGTAATGAACGCGGTGGTTTGGACTTGTTTGTGGGTCGAATGTCTTCAAATAAAATTGTAGCATCAATTTTAAGCGATTTCAAGCTTGTAGGAACAATTTTAACCATAACATACCTGTCTCGATGCTCTGCAATAAAATATTCTGAAAAATCGACTTGGTGGAATCACATACTATCAAAAATTGGTCATCATAGCGTGAAAGTACCTGAAAAATGAAGAATACTTACATTTTATTTCATCAGAATCCATTGGGATTTGGGCCTGCAATGCCTGCTGCTCCTAATAAAAAAATTCAGTTTGATTGGGTGCCATCTGGACCTGGTAGGATGTGCTCAAAGCAAAACCCACTGTTTGAGCTGGATTGCTAAAGAATATATATTTTGAGAGATTTAATCCAATCACAAATTGCAGTGGAATTATTCTGAAAGAACTAGCTATGTTTCAAGTTGATCCAATGCAAACTCATTGAGATATGAGGGAATCGGTCCCGGGGATCAAAAAAATTCCCAAAACGGAAAATTTCCGTTCACCCCTTAGGTACCGAGATTAGCTGTAAAAATTAGTCTCTTGTAGACAGACACTCTATACAACCTTGCTCGTACCTTGCTGTATAGAGTCTGTTAGTTACCGCGGGGTCGTGTACAGAGTGCTCCCTTATTATGTGAGATTCCATAAGCTTGGTCGGTGATGGTTTGAACCCGGTTGCAACATTCTTTTTTTTTTTTTTTTTTTAAATATTTTGTTGCCCCACAGCATTATGTACCTTGAATTCATGTTTCCAAACTGCAAATAGGCTCTGGGTGATTTCTGGAGTTTTTTTTAGTCTATTGCAAGATCAACTTTAACAATTTGATGTTTCTGAGCCAAGCTATTGCATACAAAAGCCGTGACCTCCACATGTCTTTTTCAAGAAGCTAAATCAGCAGATAGTTAGTAATAGATAATAAAGCCTCATAAGTCTTCAAATTAAACAGAGTCGTGTTTCTCATGAAAAGGGACACAACTCGGAAGAAGCTTAGCTAAGATTATGTAATAACGTACACAGGCCTGTGGTAAACACAGGACTAGTTAAAAATTGCAGATTTCCTGTTTCAGTCATCATGATTGCTGATCAGTATATCTTGATCGCATCAGTGGCTTAGAATATCAACATCAACTTCCTCACTACCCACATACTGTACCGACTTGTATGGTAGCAACGTAACACATAACACTACCCTCAAAATGTTGCCTAAAT